ACATGTATGTCTGGAAGTAACGGTATGGGGGAGGGCTGACCGAGCAGGGGGAGCCTGCAACCTCCTCACGATCATCAATCTTTTCAATAGCCAACCTTGGGAGGCCTACATGTATATGTAAGTGAGGAGCATTTGGTCACTTAAAGCATGCTTGAAGCAAGCATGTAGTCACTTGTAGCCATCTGCCATTGCTATGGGAGAATGGCATGTTTGCTGATATTTGATACCCACTATACCAGTAAGTCACACGCGACTTACATGTAGCAGGAGCAATCATTGTATTGTATAGTCCCCACGAGGGAGGTTTAGTCAACTGAATGTAACACCCTGTCCGTATTTCTTTTCATGACACTGAAGCAAACAGAACCATCCAGCATGTCCAGTGCCTTTCTGAAAAACTATTCAATTTATCCAGTGATGTTTTCCATAATTAAGATTTGATGTTACACCAGATTGTTCCTTCCTGAACTTTCAATTTAGGAATAGAGTGCATTTGTTGAAGTGTGTATGTACTCCTTCCAATTTTGTGTGGCCATTTTTAAGGCTAGTCTAAGTCCTGTGTTTTGTTTGTGCTGATGGATATCTCAGTTTTCATGAGCAAATGTTTGATGTTTAAGCAAAGTGACAGCATCGGGAGGCTGGTGTATTTGTAACAGCTGATTTTCTGTTTTTTTGTGTGTTCTTGTCATTGATTAAGCATGACAGTCACCACATATTCAAGGTCCTCTTTTTTGACAGAATCAGCTTTTGTATCTACATGTACATGGGTCAACAAAACAGGGTCTGACAGACCTGTGTTTTTGCTGAAAACTGGATCAGAACGTGTTTTAATTCTGTTTTGGGTCACAAAAATAGAATAGAAACGTGTTTTCAATAGGAATAAAACAGAAATTTCACGCTCCTTCACTGCGCTCATCCGAGTGAAAAGTAGTTTGACTATAATGCCCAACATAACACAAATGAAGCAAGAGGAGAGCAAATATTGATTCTTTTATATTTATCGGAAAGCATTTGAACATGAGACAATGAAGTTACAATTTTCAATATTCATTATGAATTAAATTCTTCCCTAAATCAATTAAATGTTCATAATACGTACAATAAATCTTGCCCAGACCATTGATAATTCCAATGCAACATCTTTAAACCAGAAATATAAGGTGCACTCATCAAGTCAACTATATAATGAATACAAACAGAATATTTATTCGATAAGATATTTAAGATCTGAATAAAGCAACTCTCATTTGATAACTTGTAATTGGTAATTTAGAATGCTGACATAATTATATAGCTGAAGGTAATATTCTTGTGTGACAGGTCACTTTTTATGTTATTTGCCTAGCGCCCTCAGTTGGCTGTGCCAAGTCAGCTGTTTTGTGCAAGTTCATTCTGAGACCCCCTCTAGGACCTTGTGAGTTCATTTAGTGACCCCCTCTAGGCACCTGTGTAGCACATTGTCCTTTGTTTCATTGGACACTGAGTCTTCAGCCAGTAAACACTAAGAGTTCACCATGCTAAATAACTAGCATCTAGCATCTAGCATCAAGTTCTTCCGAAGTTTGAGATAGCCAAGGCTGGGGGTTTTCTTTTCCTGCAATGCAGCAATGCCATTAAAAGTACCAGACCAGTAAATGTACACCATCCTTGTCGTGCATTTACTTGTGTCACATTTACATTAGGATTTTCGTAGGTCCTCTAGAACTTTCGGGCATCGCCCGGCTCTCTCTCTTTTTTTTCTTTTTTTAATTCATTACTTAGCAGCTTTCCTACCTGTACACTCAATCTCTTGTCAACATTTGTTCTTAGACATACTTGTTTTCCACCTGCCATGGTTCATGATAACTTCTTCTGGTACTCCTTTACGTGCAAGGTGTGTTGCACCTCCTGATCTTAGGCTATGGAGACCATACGAACTTGTGTTAGTTTCACCTATATCTTTCAACGCTTGGAGAAAAATTTCCCTGCAGCGAGTGAAACTAAGCAGTTTGTTCCTTAGGCACCTATGAGACTACGTACTCGCTTGATAAGACAAAGGGGTAATATGAATTTATCTTTGCCTATTTTAATATTACAGCTGGATAGGTATCTGAATAAAATGCTAGCAGCAGAGTAAGGGTCATCCATATAGGGAAGGTAGGCCAAGGTTCCATCCCTAAAAATATCTGTTCTAGAAAGGTGGAATAAATAATTGGATGCCTCTGTTTCTTAGCAGCAGGCTATGTGGCTACTTTCATTTGGGCCATTTTGTTGTGTCTGAACATTAAGACAAAGGCGAGAGATGCATAACAAGCAGTTCTTCCAGGATGGCCAAACTTCTCTTAAATCGCTTTTAGTTGGCTTGTGTTATCGGCTCTTTTTGAGTTGGGGGTTTGTGGAGCTGTCGCCTTCCGTCAAGAGTTACATTATGAACAATAGGGGAGTTGGCTGGATTAGGGAGAACTCTGAACCTGATCATACTGATGGTAATTACAGTCTACCTTGAGAACATCAGAGAGTCTTGTCTGGAGGGTTTGTATGTTAAGAGTTGTTTGCGTCTTGTCTTGCTGAGGTGCCAGGGGGATTTTGATCGGCCAGTGATGCGAAGGATGTACTTGGGATAGCACCATGAGACCAACTTGATGTTCCAAATCGGTGGTTGGAGACTGGAAACTCCCTGACAGAAGGGGCTCTGGAGTGGACGTTTGTGTAACCTGTGGGCAGCGGGTTATATTAGGTCTGGCTCTAGCTCTGACTTTTGATGGCAAGTCGTTTGCCTACGTACAGTTTCTGGACAAATGGCCTGTGTTCCTGCAAGTGAAGCAGACGTCAGAAGTTGACATGCCTGTGGACAGCAAAGGAAAGATAAGAAGAGGGCAGTGGCCTTTGTTGGGGGGAGGATATAGGTGAAATTCCAAATTATATCTTTCCTCTGTGGGCTAATGTGTAGGACTCAGCAATGTGCAATAGGCGTGAACTGAGGGGCATCATAAGGACGCTGCTTATATTGTAATTGTATGTATCATTGAGTCAATGAATAAGGAGTCATGGGGTGTGAAGTGGCAGGAAAGAGGAGGCCCTCTGTTGTTCAAACAATTCAAACTATATTTCGTGCATAAATTTTGACAAGGGGATCTGACTGGTGATATTCAGTCTCCCATGCATGTACTTGTACAGTGTATCCAATTTCATGTATGTTCCCACTGATCTATGGGGATCTTTGATGCTGCTTCCCCAGCTTATACCAGTAGCTGTCTCACTTTGCTTGCTTGCTGTCAGATATAATTGCACCTTATAAGATAGTCTTTTGAATTGAAACCTTTCAGACCTTTGATTGTTTGATGGGAGTAGTGGGGGGCCTGTTGAGCACAATTTGACCTTTTCTAAAGAAATAGGAAAAGGTCACGTATGATAAATATGAATTATGAATATGAATGAGGAGAGGGTTAAACGTGGAGCACAAGTTGACCTTTGGTAGGGGTATAACAATGGATGAGGGGTAACATTACGGTACAGGTTGACCTTTACTGTATAGGGTGAATATTGGATATATGAATATGAACATAGTGGGTTCAAAATTTTCGGCACATTTTGACCCTAACTCTTAAAATTTTTCCCTAACACAAAAGACCCATAGCCCCGGCTGGAAGTCCAGACGTTTACTACCCCCGTAATGAAAAGGCAAATTTCTCAAAACTAAATGACGTTGGCAGTGCTGCAAGTTTGGAAAGTAACAATTTCATTGTTACTAATACTTGTACGTGCATGGAGATTTGTATTGTTGTATCATTGATTGAAGCAACTTTGCCAACCAGTCGTAGTATCATGCATGCACCTGCCTTATTTGCATATTTCATGGGAAAGGTTCATTAGACATGAAAAGTTCTGACTGGTGATATTCAGTATGTCTCCGGTGTGTGAACCTATAGACTAATCCAATTAGATGCCATATCTGTGGTGGCACCGCACTCACACGCACATTCTTCTGCTTGACGCTCGCATGCATTTGGCAAATCACAGCACCCTGTTGGTCGACTCTGTAACGCGCTGGTATACCACCTGCCCACGAGGGTTGTCCCACCACAGTAACGGCTTCTAATTCTGGTGGTCGAATTACAGCATACAGTGTATCCAACTTCATGTATGTTTTCAATGATCTGTGGGGGGTCTTTCAGTCTGCTTCCCCAGCTCATAGCAGTCTCAATGTGTATAGGGTATATATGACCATGGTGTTGTTTCACAGGATGGTCCCATCCAACTTTGTTTCTGGCAAAATGTTGACTGGAGAGCATATGTTGTTTTTACACTGCTAATATTCCACTTGCAACCATTCCTTCAAAAATGTTGTCAATTAAAAAGCAGTGAGTGAACTAACTGTAACCAAAAATGTGTGCCACATGAATTAAAAAAACTGCAAGAAAAGAAATCAAACCATTATTTTTTTACGATTCGAACTATCACATTTTTATCAAGTGCGTTTCCACAAACCTTAGTCTAAAATGCCGATGACAATAACTTTTGGATGTCCATGTGACTGTGACGTTTGAGAAAAGTTTTGCTGCTTGCAGGCCCTTTGACCTTTGACATAAGCTCAGATAGTGCCCCTAATACATGTAAGTTACGTAACCTATAGTGGGTATTAATCATCAACAAACATGGCATCCTCCAATAGGGCATTTCCATGTCAAAAAGGAGAATGGACTCAATTTTTTTTCACTGATTTTTTTAATTTGCTTGTATTTTTACAAAGGCATTTGACTAAAGCTATGGAAAAAGTCCTTAACTAATCTTTGCTAGCTTTTTAACTTGAAAATTCACCTTTTAAACAATATGTCTGTAATTATTAAAAATCTGACTCTGAGAGCAATATGTTCAATGTGGCATGGGTATTTTACTGTTGCCAAGGTAAATCATGACATACATGTACACGTAATTACCAGCATCATCTCCCCTTCTTTTGCCCCCAAACTAACTTCAAGAATCTCAACGATATCTGTTGCGTTTGTCATTAACATTTACAGGGTTCAGGAGAGCTCCAGTGTATCCGAACAAGCAAATAATGGTAGACATGTACACTTCCGGTTTCCAGGCTGTCAGGCCATAGGGTTGACTGAGAGACCACCTGCATTTAATTTCAACAAGTCAGTACTGTAGATGGATTCTGATCCCTGGACTTGGAATGCCTTGCAAGGTAAGAGTTTTGTAGCAAATCCTTTCCCATCTTTTCATGACTGAACTTTCTTGATCATTCTTGTCTACAATGAGTTGACACTCTTGGGTGTTGAATTTGAGCCCAGTGGACACTACAGATGGAATCTTTGTGTGAAGATTTGGCACAAGTCAAAATGCAGCAAACTACGTAATGCCTGGCAAAGATCCCTGCTCCTAAGGTAGCAAATAACAACATTCAGCCATCCAGTTGACAGCAATAGAGCCTGTGTGAATAATCCCAAATACCACAGTAGACAATATGCTGATTGCTGCCCATATGCTGAATACAATGATCTTTGATCTGAACAAAGTCATCGCCACAGGGTACTTCAGAGGAATGGAAATAGCAATGTAACGATCTACGGTCAGAAGGGCAAGTGAGTAAAGACTCATTCTGTTAGATATGTACTGGATCACATTATTTGTTTGAAATCAGGTTGTGTGTTTAAAAGTGGACAGGGACACGGGGATGATAATTGAGCTGAGTCTGTCTAACGTTGGGATCGAGACCTTGAACATGCAAACTACATGTAATTGTTGGAGTAAAATTGTTCCTTTATATAGCATTCCAAGTACATGCCCAGGATAGCCCACATTAATCGTAGTGAACTTAACAATGGAGTTGAACTCCAATTGGATTTTACCCTACCGTAAGGTGTAAATACAATTATGCACAGTATACATCATGAACGTTGAATGACTTGCTAACTTTTCACTTGTACATGTGTATATACATGTGCCGGATACCTCCTGATGCCCTTACATGTTTTTTTCTTCAGAGAAGGTTGGTTCAATGTGTATAAGTTTGCAAATAAAACCTGATTTTTGTTAGACTATATATGGAGACTGAAAGTTGACTTCTGATGGCGTGCTTCCAGAACCCTTGGATTGGAAAAATGATGTGCACAGATTTTAGAATTTGTAACATTTTTCATTTAGTTACTTCTTAAAACAATCCAACTTGGAAAAGGGGCTTTGGAAAATATTTGCTAGTACATCAATTTATAGAAACTGAAAAATTACCTGACCTTAAAGAGAAACATCTGACGCCATGGTTCTGTAAGTTGAGTGGGAAACCTTCCCTTTGATTCAGCTGACGATGAAGTTAACATTGTCTTGAAACCACCAACCACCCCAGCACCTACCTCCGTCAGTCATTTCACCAGGTGTAATTGTTTTATGTTGGGAATAGAATGGGGTGGTGTTTGAAAGTGGATGGCCACTTCCTTGCTCAAAGTACTTCAGGTTTGGAAAGAGTTTCCTGAAACAGCTCAGTGTTTGTCTGTTTCATCTATGTTTGTTTCTGTTCTTTTTGGTTGCGGGCATTCCTTGTACTGCTGAACATCCAACCCTACCGCCTTGGTTCTGTTTGGATTGGTTTGGCTGCTGCTCTGTTTTCAACTTCCCTCCCATGAGATGAGACGGAACATTGAGAGAATGAATTGTACATTAGACATTAGTGAAACACCATGGAAGGAGGTGATTTTTCAGTAGACTTCTAAGTCCGTCAACAATATTGCAAACAGCAGAGCTCAGGATGGAAAAGTACCGTATCTGAGCAGCCACTGGACCAGTATCCTAGTCCAGAACATGTAGCTGGTCCTGTGCGGAAGGGCTGGATGAGATTACTGACGTGATTACTTACGTACCGTAACTAAATGAACACTGTCCCTTATACTGGTGTGTACCTTTAAGAATCTAACAACTACTTTGATCTATGGCCGGAATCTTTGGGATAGGCTGTGGAACCAGTCGGATAATAAGCCACACAGTGTCTGGCGAAGATCCCTGTTCCTCAGGTAGTAAATAACAGCATTCAGCCAGCCATTTGACACAAGCAGAGCTTGGGTGAACACAAAGGCCAAGTATCTGTTATAAGTCTTCGATTGAAGTTTTAAAAATATCACCACTCTGACGAGTGTAGGAATCCAGGTGATGATCAGAGTCCCTGCTATGATGATGACGGTGGTGGTTGATCTGGTGTTTATTCTCTGTCTACCTTGGCCATTGCCTGCTTGGTTTTCAGCAGCAATGCGTCGGGTTTGATTGCGAGCTATTAGGATGATGTGTGCATACAGGATGAATATGGTCAGCAGTGGCAGTATCAAAAATACAACCACTAAATAGATTTGCCAGTCATTTAAGAATGACTTTCTTAAACAAACATATTTTTGGGGTTCATATTGTAGAGGAAATGTAGGGCTGTAAACCCCAAATCCAAAAATCAGAACAGTGCTGATTATAGTCCATGTACTACCGACCAGTATCTTTGATCTGAACTCAGTCATCATTGAAGGGTAGCGCAGAGGATGAGAAATAGCAATGTAACGATCTACAGTCAGAAGTAGAAGAGAATATACACTTAAAGAGGTGAATGCAGCATCCATCACAATAGTTGCCGCACAGAGAAAATCCCCAAGTAGCCACGTTCCAGCAAACAGTTCTGTTGAATGAGGGATCCACCATACACTGTTACAAAGGTCAGATAGGGTGAGTGAAGCCATAAAGATTTGGGTGGTTGGCTGGATGCTGGTGACATGTCGTAAGGTGAAAAGCATCAGTGGATTCAGGAGAAGGTTTGGAGCAATGGCTAGTACCATCAGAATTTTGACAATGACTGCAAATGGAGTTGATTCTGTTGCATTCTTGGCCTCCTCTGGTGTGGAATATGAGGTGGTAATGTTCATTTCTGCATTTAGTGCATCCATGCTCTGAAACTGTGGACAAAATCTTTGGTTAATCGGCCTTTTCTCACCTGTTATTAAGCTTGTCAGGTGCTCGGAAGGAAAATCTGAATTCATTCACATGAGTTCAGGTCCCACTCCAGATACAGTAGATATTGACAAGTGAGCTTGCTTCGTCATTTTAGGAAAATGTCTCATTCAGAATCTGACATGAAAAGTTCTGGCTGGTGATATCCAGTCTCTGGTGCATGTACCTGTGTGGTGTAGCCAACTACACAGTGTGTTCTCGCTGATCTGTGGGCGTCTTTTATGCTGCTTCCCCAGCTCATAGCAGTCTCACTGTGTTTATATGCTGTCAAATGTAATTACACCTTATAATACAGTTGTTAGAATTCAAGCTTTTCGGATCTTTGATTGTTTGATCCTCTGATGGAAACTTGATGAAGGACTAGGCGTCATCTTCCGATGAGTCTTTTTTTGTCTTTGACAACTTGTTCCTTTGCTGTCAGTTCTTGTTACTGAATGTTGGCACCATGAGTGGCCAACTTGACAGCAGCATGAGCAATGTGTCCAATATTTAGAAGCCATATTGATTGGAAAACTTTACCTTAGCAGAGTCTGCTATTTATTAAACTTAACAAGAGCCTGTCAGATCTGGGGTTTCATTACTTACATGTATTCAGGTATAAAACTCATACAGGTGCTCCATTTCTACTGGTCCAGATAAAACCGGTGCAGTGGTTTTGGTTTGTATTGTATTGTATGTGTGCTAATTAGTTTTGAGAGCTTTGTAACTGCTTTATGCCGCACTGCACTGCCCATGCATCGTAGATATGGCTAAAGAGGGGTGTTTCATAAAGCACAATTATTAAAAAATTGCTGATAAAAGATGACATACTCATTAGTCAAATGTTAGACAGGCAGTGTCATTTTTTTTGTAAATAAGATTTGATGGTACACAATATAATTCCCACTTGAACTTGCAGTTTAGTGGACAAGAATGCAGTTGTTGAAGTCTGTATATCTACTTCTTCCAATCTTGTGTGGCCATTTTTAAGGCAAGTCTGAGTCCTGTGCTTTCCCAGATACCATGCTTACGATGTATTTTTTTTTCTATCGGGCCTTTATAATGCTGATTCTTTGGCTGGACGTCTAACCAACGGATAATTTCAACATTGGACTGACGATTTATTACCAATGTTGGCATGATGCACTTGACACAAATGTCGGGCCAACCTGTGTTTTCCAGCATTGTTAAAACGTTGTCATAAGTTGGCCCATTTTTTTCCCCATTGAGCCATCTTGTGCAATCTGATTAGTTTTCCGCCACATATTTCTCACAGGGGGGAAACATTTCAAGGCAGACAGTGAATCGTATCTCTTTTAAGATTTCTGAAGCAGCTGGCTGCATTTTTGCCATCTCAGTGTTGCCACCTCAATGATTGAGCCTGTCTTACCATCATCGTGAAGAATGCCATGCTCTTTGCCTGACATGGCCCAGAAGAATCCACGCTGCGTTCCAGCCAGTGTCCTCCCAGTGATGCCAAAGAGTACCACCCGCCATCCGACATCGGCCAAGAAGTCCATTTCTCCAGTGGCCCTCGTTTGTACTTTCTCTCGCCCAGATACCGAAGTCACTGGGCTGGGCTCCCCACGAGTGCCTGAGTGTCTAGATGATTCTTCAAGCCCCTCCCCTTCCACTGTAAGGTCTCTTGTTTGCACATGTATACATGTACATGTACGTGTACATCCGTTTGGAGAAGACTTTTGTTAGTTTGCCATCATGCATTTATGCAGACTCCTTCATCTATCCAATACATTGCTCTTGCATATCTTTTCTCTCTCTCTCTCTGACTACCCGGTATACTGCTTGTGGCACGCAGGGCACTAGTCTGCCGTATGTGCCATTCATCTACAACAACAACAACATATTTTGGTGTGATGGTGTTCCAGCCTTCTCTCCCAATACTCCCTAGTGTGATTGAAATGAAGAGGGATACTCTGTCAGGTCCTGTCACTTAATGAAATAAATGCTTTCAGTTGTTAATTATTGGCACGATTTCGGATATTGAAATGTTTTTTTGTCTGCAGAGATCCTTTCCGTGAGCGGAAATTATTAGCAATTTCCTCCATTCAAGTTTAACATGTACGTGTACTACAATGAGCTCTCTCCTTGGAGTGACCTCCTATGGATACTCCTTCAGTTATTCATGTCACAAACGTCATGCGGCCGACTCCTCTACGCCGGCCATTTATTTTTCATGAGTGGGTGAAAATGATAAAGTCTTCTGTTGCAGTCGGGATGCTGGCAGCCATGCTGGATACGAAACACGGCTTACCTTCACTTTGATATGAACATCTTCAACACCCTTCCGCCGCGTATGTTCGGTCCTCATAGACTGTGCGTGCATTTAATTTGTGTATTTGCACATGCGCAATAGTGACGTAATGGTGGTCAGCCTGAAAAATTCTAGCAGACTA